AGAAGTGGACACAGTGGAGAAAGAATCAAGAAATAATGACAGTAGTTCCAGCCTATCCAATGCCTGTACTGAGAAGAACGCTACGAAGTTATAACACTTTTCCTCACCTCCTCTCTGCCAGACCTACATCTTTCTCCCCATCCTATAGATGAAGAAACTGAGATTTCAGCCCCTTGATTTAGGATTTCAGGCTTGAAAGTGACAGGTTTGGGATTGAAACCCAAGCATCTTTGCAAGGGAGGAATACATAGGGTAGTTCTTGAAGGATAAAGAATGACATGGAGAGAGAAGGGGTTCTACCCCCCCGCCCCCTCCAGCCTGCTCCTTGCCCCTTCCTTGCCCCTAGGCACACCCCCTCAGTGAATGGCCAGTGCACCCCATGGGACAAGGGAAGGGTGCTGGGTCTGCTCTCTTGTTTATCCCTGGTCGTGTCCTGCTCTCCCCCTGCAAGGAAATCCCTCCATGGAGGGAGTCTCATTTGACCCAAAGACACCATGTTCTAATTGATAGAAAATTGTTCTCTGCTGCTTGTCAGGTTATTGTTTATTACCTGATCCTTAATGACTGATTTTCCACCAGTAATCCTGGAGTCCTGTGCCCACAGTCCTGAGGACATGGCCTGAGTCTCTGAGTCCCTAAAAGTGATTGCAGAGGGGCCTGCAAACATCTCTCAGGGCTGGGGGTGGCTAGCTGGCCTGGCACCAAAAAGGGCAATCCAGCCCCTCTCTCAGTCTTGGTGCCCTCCCCTCCACAACCCCCTGGGACAGTTCCCCACACTGCATGGTCCTCTACTCAGGGCAATATGGTAAGCTGATAAGCCTCCCCCCAGGAGTCGGAGCCCCCCTTAAAAAGGGGGAGTCTGAAGAGTGCCTTGAAGGTTCCTGGCACAGTTCATTAAGATATCAACCTTTAATGAAATATTTCTTTGTTTAAATCGTCATTTATCTTGGGGAACAGGGGCCTTTGTGGCAAAGGGAAAAGCTGCCCTTTTCTACCCCTCCCCCACCTCCACCTAGCACAGACCTGGGTCTTTCTGAGTCAGAAAGATTGGGAAGCAGGGTGGGGAGGAACAGCTGGAAGGTACTGGAAGGGCAGAAGATTCCAGAGTGGGGGAGCCACAGGGGGAAGGGGGGAGAATTCGAATGAGCAGGAGGCAATGGAGGAGAGTGAAACAGAAAGCCCTGGAAGCACCAAACCCCCCTCCCCCCCCCCAACCCACTGCAGCGTGACCACAATGGCCAAACATAGGAAACAACCCAACTGTCCGTCAAGGGGAGGCTGGGTAAAGAAACCTGGACACACTGATACAGTGGAATGCACTCCAGAAGCCTTTTCAATTAATGAACTAGAGATACATGTAGCAAACCTGAATTAGTCTCAGCAACATGAAGTTGAGTAAAAAAAAAAAAACAACAAAAAGTAAAAGCAAGGAGCAGAAGGATACTTTTCATTTAAAATGTCAAGATGCCCAAACAATATTAAATGATTAAGAGTATAAAATGTAGGGCCGGCCGAGTGGCGCGGTGGTTAAGAGCTGGCTTGGGATGCCAGAGGGCCCCGGTTCGGATCCCACATACGAGGGCCAGTGACACTGCCCTCCACAGCTAAGATGCTGAACAACAGCTCAACCTGGAGCTGGGCTGCCGTGAGTCGCCGGCGACGGTGTAGGCTGCAGCCCCTGCTGCAGTGGGTTGCCATGAGCTACTGTGTGTAGCCAGCAGCCAGCGTGAGCGGCCAGCAGCCAGCGTGAGCGGCCGTCCAGAAGCCGGCGACCGATCTGCCTCGCCCGGGAAGAGCGCAATGATGGTGCCAACTTGGGCCAGTGAAGCAACGTCCTCCACAACTAGACTGAAGAACAAAACGACAGCAACTTGTCTGTTCCCCTTCCCCCAATTCCCCAGCACTGTTCCCATCCCCCCAATTCACCAATAAAAATCTTAAAAAAAAAGAGTATAAAATGTACGTGGGAAGGCTACCTACCAGCTTCAAGAAACTGCCTACCTCTGGGACCGACAGATGGAGAACGAGAGGGGAGGGATACAGAAGGACCTCCACAAGATCAGCAACCATTTTTAAGCCTTTTATTTTTTAAGCATAAAGAAAGGTGCACAAATCATAAGTGTACATACAGACCAATTAGTTTTCACAAAATGAACACACTCATGTAACCAAATTCCAAAAACACAGAACTTTTCCAGACCCCTAGGAAACCCCTCATGCCCCTCCCAGTTACTCCCCCCACCTAGAATAGCCACTCTCCTGAGTTCTAACCCATCAATGAGTTTGACCGATTTCTGAATTTCAGATAAATGGAATCATACTGTGTGTGCTCTCTGGTGTCTGGCTTTTGTGCTCAACATCCTGGTTATGAGATTTCTCCATGTTGCTGTGTGTGGCAATGGTTTGTTCATTCTCATTGCCAAGGACTAGCTCATGTATTTGAATACCACGATTTACTCACCTAATTCCACTGCTGATGGCTATTGTGAATAGTGCTACTAAGAACATTATAAATGTATGTCTTTTGGTGAACACATACATGTATTTTTTTGTTGGTATATACTTAGGAGTGGGGTTGCTATATTATGCTGGTAAAGGTTTATTCTTTAATAACTAAAAAAAAGGTTTTGAGGGAAAAAAAAGTAAGATGCAAGCAGTCCGATGAATGGAAACAAAATATCTGGGCATAGATGTGTTGGGACTGTAGGAATAAGGAGATTAATGTTTCTGAACATACACAGCCCCAAGTGCTAGGCCTGGCACTCAGAGCAAGCTCACTCACCAACCTACTTCCTTCCCACAGCAGGGAGGCAGCTGACCCCAGGAAAGGGCATCTGCTTCTGAGCAGGAAGACCTGGAAGCAAGTCTTTGCTGCACCACCTCCTTGCTGTGTGACATGGGGTGAGTTGCCTAACTTCTCTGAGCCTTGAATTCCCCACCTATAAAATGAGAAAAGCCACCATGCTGAACAGCACATGAATCAAGTACCTGGAACATAGCAGGCATTTAATATCAGGCAGTTGTATGCATGATTTAAAGTTTTGTGAGGTTGATAGTCCTCATTTTTAGGTGAGGAAACTGAAGCTCACAAAAGGGAAAATGAACGTGTATAGAAAGCACTTGATGAACAGGTCACGGAGCAAGACTTTTTCATGCCAATGCTTTTTCATGCTACCCACCCGACCACCCTAGGATGCATCCTCCCAGTTTTGTGGATGAGAAAACTGAGGCTCAGACATCATGTAACTTGTCCAAGTCACACAGCTGGTAAGTGGCAGAGGCTGAAGTTCAACTCTAGGATGTCTCACTCCAGCCTCTGTGCTCTTAACCACGGCCTCCTAGTAGGGCCAGGCCATGGGCTCTGGTTCCTGCCACAGCCAAAGCCCCCAGTCCTGGACCCTTTGAAGGAACAAGGACAGAAAGGGGACCGTCCTGCCTATTCCCTGTCACTCTGCCTCAGGAGCCAAGGGCTGTTCTTTTGAACTTGCTCACAGAGCTCCTGCACCACAAGGAAGGCCTTTGGACTGGCCGCTTTGATTTCGGGATGTTTATTCTGTAACTGTCTTTGGTGAGGCCTTGTTTTCTCACTAAAACGCCCTTTAGGTGAAGACAAGACAGGGTCTTTTGCCTCCCTTGGGCTCTGTGACTCACAGGGTGCTGGGAAGTGAGCTGGCCTAGAGATGAGGAGTAATGAGAGAAATGAGAGCCCAAGTGTTTCCCAGGAAATCCCTTTGGGCAAGTAGGCCCACGTGTGAGGTTCAGTGGGCTGCTGTAGGAAGGTGACAGAAAAGGACTCAGTGACTATGCCAGCCAGCCATAAAAGAGCTGGAGAATCCCATTGGAAGTCACCTTATTCCAACTCCCCTGGCAGAAATCCTTTCTTTTTTTTATCAAAAGCCCCTAGTTCTTACCCCACCCCAAGCCTGTGCAAGAAGGATAGGAAGGAGAACATGGCCCAGGTGGGCTTACACAAGGACCTGCCAACTCCAGGCCTGGCCCCCTTGCCTGTCCACACCCCCCCACTCCCACCGGAGCTGGCTTTCCATAAAAAATAAATCCAGACCACAAGACCAAGGGCTTCCTTCCCCCCCCCCCAAACTGTACTCCCCCTTAGGTAACCCACAAGCAGGCCGCGCTGTTTTTAAGATCTCCACAAGCTCTTCCCTGTCCTCATTGAAGTGTCTCTGGTTATAATTCTGCTTCATCACTCATCAGCCAGCCGTAAGTCTAGGAAAGTGACTTCATCTTTCGGTGCCTCAGTTTCTGCCACTGTGAAATGGAGATAATAGTACTATCTACCTTACAGGGATACGGTGCAGATGAAATGAGTTCTATGCCTGGCATGTGCTATGACGTCATTGTTAGCTGTTGTTATTCTATTCTTATTGCTACTGCTATTGCTGTGCTGGAAAGGTCACTTGCCAATAACGGTCTCCAAATACATGGCCCTTAGAGTCCTCCCTCCAATGATTTCACACCTAGATACCTGAAAGGCTCCAGCAGGACCCAAGTATGCCTGTGACACCCACTCAAGAGGGCAAATACATAGGATCTGGACCTGGGCAGGTATCCTTAACATTACAACTACTTCTGGCTTATTTGCGCCCGCAGAAAAGAAATGGAATAAGTGATGGAGAACAACCCAAGAGGAAGCCTCCTCACTGGACACCCTTTTGTTCCAAGCCCCATTGGAAAGACCTTGAGTAACAAGAAACCCTCTCTCCCCGTGCCACAGCACTGACACACTCTGAGCACCAGTCCCTGAAGCACCCCCAGCTCACATTCCACAGGAGCAGCAAGTGTCTGCCCCTCTCCACCTGCCTCAGGTGATACGGGCCAGGAGAGCCTTCAAGGCTCAGTTGTCTTTCCGCCCCCATCCCCACAACAGGATCCACCCTTGGTCTAGGGCATTCCTTGGTCATCCCTCACCTCTCCCCACCTCAACACCCAGGGCCAGAAGGGAGATGTTTGGGGGGGGGGTAGTGGAAGGGAGGACTTACTCAGATTGCCACGGGTCTCTGAGTGGGGCATCTGCTACCAGCAGAGCCCTCCCCCTGGGATCTTGGGCCTTTCCTCATCCGGACTTCCCCTTCTCAACCCAAACACACACCACTGCCACCACCAGAATCCCTTCAGTTCTCCCAGGCAAAAGACGTTGAGTTTTGTTTACAGTCTAATTTGTCCGGATAATTGCCTCTACTTTGCACTTCGCTAGGCCGCGTGGATCTGGTTTTGGGCCCCTTCTTCACGGGTTCACAGAGCACTTGATGGGAAATTCCCCTTCCGGAGAGGGAGGCAGCGCGCGCTAGGGGTGACCGTGCACGTACAAAGCCCAGAAGGAGCCTCCCTACCTCCCCCACCCCGGTTCAAAAACACACTCCCAACCCCCACACAGTGGGGAGCAGGAGCGATGCAGGGAAGGGCCCGGGCCGGACACCAGCCACTCCCCGCGCCGAGCTCAGCCCGCCGGGAACCAGTGAACCGTGTGGGAGCAGGGCTTGGCCGTACCTCCAGACTCTAGAGGTCTGGGGTTTGCAAAGCGCGCCATAGGATTCGCGAGGCCAAGGTGAATTCCTGGGATCTCTCCACCTACCCCCCCTCCCCCCTTTTTCAGGTACTCAGGCCCACGTCTTTCCCCCGTGTCCCCATTTTTCTTTCCCTAAAGTTTGGTCCACGTGGTCTTCTCTAGCTCCCAGCCGATTGCCTCGCCTGGTGAAAGTGGCTGCACCTGCTTTAGGCGAATTATGGTAGCGCTAGAAGTTGGTCTCCCCTCCCTCCCTCCGCCGCCCGCTCGCTCGCTCCCTCCCTCCGCCCCGGCTCTCCGCGCGCTCCCTCCTTCCCCCCGCACCCGCCTCTCCGCCTCCTCCCGCCCCGCCTGCGCGCCGCCGGCTCGCAGCCACTCGCAGCCCGGGCTCAGTCGCAGCCCCTCGGAGTCCCGAGCCGGCCGCCCCTGCGGACCGGACTGTGCGGCCCACGGACGAAGCCCCCCAGCCTGCGAGGAGGGCGCGGCGCAGGCGGCGGCGGCGCGGCGGGGAGGAGCCCGGGCCGGAACCAGGGCTGGGCCGGGGGCGGGGACGCCGGGGTCCCGGAGCCCCGGAGCCGGAGCGAGCGAACCAGCGTCGCGGGAGGACCGGGAAGGAGGAGCACAGCCGGAGCTAGCCGAGCTGCCCACAAAGTGCGATGCCCCGGCGGGGCTAGGGCGCGCGGCGGCCGGCGCGGCGCGGAGGGAGGACGCCCCGGAGCTGGGCGGCGCAGAGGGGCAGCCCCAGCGGGCGGCGGCGGGCCCGGGCTGCGCGACCCGAGCGAGCCCCATGCCCCGCGCGGGCTGACGGGCCGGAGCCCGCACGGAGCGGCCGGGCCGGACAGGTAGGTGGCGGGCCGAGCCCGGGGACGCGGGTGGGGGCTGGGCCGGCGACCAGACCAACTCCCGAGCTCGCGCACTCTCTCGCCCGCTCGCTGGCTCACTTTGTGTTTGCAAACTGCCCGCCGGAGCCTCGCCGGGAGGAGCCGGGCCCAGGCCGGCGCACTTTGTTCCAGCTAGGGCCGGCTGCGGCGCCCTGACCCCGCGCAGCCGCGACACCCGGCCCTGGGCCCTCGCAGCCCCGAGCTGCCTTGGGAACAGGTGGGGGCTCCGGCGCGGCGGCGGGGGGGGGCGCCCAGAGGTTGGCCGTGGGGGGGGGCGCTGGAAAGACTACCGAGGCCCGCCCTTCCCCAAGAATCCGGGCCCCGCCCCCTCCCGTCCTGACCGCTGGGAATGGGGTGTAAGGGGGCGCGACACCCCCGCCCTCCCGGAGTCAGACAAAGACTACTTCCCGGCCCAGACTTTCTTGAGCTGGGGAGGGAAAGTGAGTTCCCCTAACCCCATTCTGTCCAGGACTCCCCAAGAAGTGTCCGGGCAGATGGGGGGGCCGCGGTCCCACCCGCCGCATCTTCTCGAGTGAGGAGGGGGACTCGTTTTGCTGGGGTCGCACCTCGGAGGTTCCGGGGCCAGTCAACACCTTTCCCCCATCCCTGGTCAACTCGGAGATAGAGCGGAAAACTTCTTGGGGACTTGAGAGCGCCCGGAATAGGCCCCTGTGATTTTGTGCCCTGGTGCTGGAGTAGGGGATTGACCTGGCCGATACCTTTATTCACCCCATTTGGGGAAAGCCCCCGCCTCGCTGTGTAGAGGGGAAAGGGAGGGCAGCAGCAGGGTTTGGAGGGCACCTGGGAAGAGTGCCCTAGAGTGACCAAGCGGGACCTCCCCTTCCAGACTGAGGAATCTAGTGTCTCCTCTGGACTGCTCCCCCCCCTCCCCCAGACACCTCTCTTTGACCCGCGATCACCCCCGCGGCGCTCCAGCCTAGCGCTCCCCATCAACGCCAAACAAACTAACGTGGGCTGAGCCGGGGTAGAGCTTGTGGTGCTAGAAGGCGGGGTGTCCTGAGCGACCTGGGGTCCCTGCCTCTCCGGCAAAGGAACATGTGATTTCGCGGGACGCGGATTCTGAGGCAGAGGCCCTAACGGCTGCGGATTCCTTCTCTCCAACTGGGGCGACCTCATGAACACACACCTGCGTCCCACCCGGATTCTCTAGTTTGGGGGAAGAGGCTATGGGATCGCAGAGCCCCTGAGCCTGTAGAGCACCCGTTTCGTCCCATTGCAGTCACCTTCCTCCCCACTCTTTTGCAACCCCCGCCTGGCTGATTTCCTTCCCTCGCTGGGCTCGTGGGTTTTCAGGCGTGTAGAGATCACCGCGTGTATCGCACCCCAGCGCCGGGTCTCCCTGCAGGATGACCGCGGGTCCCGGAGCAGGGGAGGGGGTGGGGGGCGGGAGGAGCAAACCTGAGTCTGAAGCGGCCCTCCCCACGCCGCGGTTCCTAGGAAAGCCCAGGGGCATTTTGGCCAATGCGGGTTTTTACTTGAACTTCAGCATCTTGATCCCCCGTTTCAAAGGACCCGCCGTGATTGTCCTAGAGTGAACTGTGTTGGGTTTGGGATTGAGGGCCACAGGAGCGCAGCTTGAGGGGCAGCTAGGGTTGGAGTCTGTGGCTGGGCCTGGTGCCCCTTCTCCCACACAGAATGAAGGAGCAGCAGCGGGGTCGGCTATATAGCCTAGTCCAGGGATGGTCTAACCATTCCCACCGCGGAACACAGTGGGTAACCGAGACCACAACACGGAGAATTGGAACCTAGACACTCAACATTCCTTGGAGAATAGAATTTGAACCCTGTAGATGCCGGGCATTTCAAGCCCCTGGTTACTCCTGGTGAGCCAGTGGATGGGTGCAGGGACCAGAAGGCCCGAAGGCAGAAAGGCCAAGCTGGCAGGCCCCAGGTGGGGGAAGGGGAGCCACTTGCCTCAGACAGCCCCTGCCTGAGACCCAGACAACCCCTGCCCAACCCGGACCACTGCCGGGAAGGGGAAGTCTGCAAGCTTTTTTTTTTTTTTTT